TGTATGTGTGTATGTATGTCTGTATACATACATATATATTTATATGTTAGTATTATACGATCTCTACGTATATGCATATGTATACACCTCACAGTTCTGACGAAGTAAGCTCGAAGCTGTAGGAGACTGCCAAGTTCCCAAGTTCACAAACCCTCAAGCCTCGAACTTTCGTTGCTCTTCAGGGTTCATGCTCTACTTGGGTTTAATGGGGAAATTGGAATGTAGGTTAGTACATAGTTTCGGGAGTATATATTCTTTGTTACTTGGACCATGGGCATTCAGCCCACATCATACTGCCTGCTGCGTTTAAGCTCATTACGTCAAGATCCGGCTGAAGCTCGTTGGCCGTATAACACTCTGGCAACATCTTTCAACCCACCCTCATAAAACCGTGAATCAGCCGACCCAAGGCATGGTGGCAAGAAGTCTGGAAACCATGTCTGCTGTCCTCGAGCAACATGTCCAGACCCTTGTGGCACTGACACCTTGGCTGCGCTAATTCGCGGGTTCAGGCTCAGGATTTTGGGGTCTAGCCTCATCGAGTCTAGGGCAGATTGATGTCGTAGACCCTTTAAACCCTAAAACGACTGAGTGCGAGTGTGTGAGTCGAAAACGCCTGAACCTTCCAACACCTCCTGCTCACTCCCGAAACCCTTCAAAGGTCGTGTGCACACCGAGCACATAGGAATATCAGAAATGCACTGCTATTTCTTAATGTCCCTTGTTATCGTAGTTACATATAGCGTAATGTCCCACAAAACATCACGCAACCCTATTCTAATCAATCAGGTCCCAGTATTTTTCTATGGATCTACCTATCTATCTAGCTAGAGTGTACTATACCACAAAACTCACAACACCCTATTCTAATCATTTCTAATCATTCAGGGCACACGTCGATCCGTTGCGGCGAAGATAAATACGATTGAAAACAGTATAGCATGGTTTTATATAGAAAGAAATAATATAGTATATAGTGTGTGTATGTGTGTATGTATATATATATATATTTCATTATGTGTACATATATATATATACAGAGAGTACATATTCTATAGTAATATCGTATAATACAATATTTTATCTGAAGCCATCGTTCCTTGATCGAAACTCCCCAGCGCGAAGCACAAAACCTTCACGAAGGCATGAGAAGGCAGACATCCCGGAACCCTGAACCCAAACTTCCATCTCAAACCGAGGAATGACAATCCAGACATGCACGATCCCGAGAAAGAGTCCGGGGTCAGAAATGACAACCCAAACTCAACGGAGCGGCTGAAGCAAGCTGTCGCTGCACCTTGACTGGAATTTTCTGGACGTGAAGGTAGTTCTCTTCATTAGGGTCCCTTTGTATTTTTTAGGTCCCCCATCTAGTACGGCAGCCGAATACAAAAAGATCCTATAAGGCATCCTAATTTAGAGAACTACCCGTGTGCCAGAGTCCCTCCTTTGATAGAGCTCCAAGGGACCATCGTGAACGATGACCTGCGTGGCATTAGAGTCAGAGGAGATAGCAAATCCAATTTGTTACTAGACTTTCATCTTCTGTAGAATAGGGTTTCGTTTTTTTTGTGGGCTGGGGACCTCGGGTGATAAGGCCCTGAAAAGCTCAATCAGCATCGTGCTGACCGATGTCAACGAGCTGCAGGGAGTGACCCAGCTGAAGCATCCGATGGCTTTGGGAGTGCTTTGCCTTCGCCGTAGAGGGGCTGATGACCTAAGGCAGAAGCCGGAATGACGACAAGTTTTCATAATTAGACAAGCATGGAAATATGTATTCTTCTTTGGGATTTCTGAGTCTAGCTTACTATGCTAGATCTCAAGACCATGTTGCAATTGTTAAGGCCCTCCCAAATAAAGCTGCAAAGCTTTTTCGGATTCAGACTCCTTTCACCGGCGGACTTCCCCAGCCCGGATGCAAAAACAGATTACTTATCTACTAGCAGAGCTTAACAGAAGGGACAATCACCGAGCTCACAAGCAAGGCATTCAGATTCCCTCGTTCGCGGCCTCCGGCCGTAGCATCTTACTGTCCAAACTCCCTAAACCCTAAAACATCCTAAACCTTGTAAACACCAAGCCGTAAACCCATGAAAAACAATGGTACTAAACCCCAGACCTCTAAGCCCTAAATCTTAAATCGATCTCCAATTCTAGATCCGAAATTCTTCAACACAAACCCTCCCACCGCTGCGGCTTTCGTGCACCAAGCCTTGAATACACAACTAGCACATGAAGGCTCAAACGGCTGACGGAATGCCCCTGATAGGCCTGATAGGTTGTGCTCATCGCACCACGTCTACCAACAAAACCGTCTTAGCACCCGAACCACCCTAAGCAATAAACCGCAAACAAGTCCCTACACCCTGCGACCCCTTGAAACGCACGCACGAAACAATCTCCCCAATCCCTAAACCAGAACAAAACAAGCAAGGATACCTTAAACCAAAGCCCGTAAACAAATGAGGAACAAGGCACACTTCCTGGTGAACAGGCAGAGGCACTTGCGACCCTACAGCAGCCACAATCAACCCTAGCTCCCAGCACTAACTCCAAAACCTTGAAACAAATTTACCCTAAACTCTAAACCCTGTAGATAAGACCAATATAATAGAAAGATCGCCACAGGATGCCGGTCATTCACATGGAGGCACAAGCGCGCCCTCCGGGCAGCCCCGCCCGGGTCTCGGAGTCTTCGAGGATTGTTCTCTCGTTCTTATTTTAAAGAGGGCTGTTTCTTTTGACAGGGTTTCGGATTTTGAATTGTATAGGGTTAGGGCTTCAGGGCTTTAGGCTCTGGGGGCTTTATGGTTTCGCCGGACGCTGAAGCCACGAATCTATGATGAGGGCTGTTGGATTTGAGGGTTCACGTTTCGTTCCTGGGGTTTACTGGCTGAATACACTGAGTGTCCGAGTTAAGCTCTTCGTGTTGAAAACGCTCCAGACATTATCTGCCCGATGTAAGGCCACCGCATATTCGCCCTGTAGCACGGCTTTTCAGGAGGTGCAAGTGACCCATCCGCTGAATCGTTTAGGGTTGAAAATTTAGGCTCGTAAGATCTCATAAGCCTCATAGTAACCTTGAAAAAGCGTAGAAGGCCTTGTAGCAACCCTTTTTATGGTTTTCCCCTTGTAGCAACTCCATGGCTTGAACCAACACAAGGATCAAGCACCCAGGCATCCGACATTCCGTGACAGTCAGCGCCAGCTCCGAGCAAGATCCGTCGGCAGTCGCTGGGCTACTATAGAGGCCTAAATATTTACCTATACTATTTTGTGGTCTCCTTATTATATACTTATAATATCACTAGTTATTAAGGCCCCTGCATTACATGCTGCCTCTTCTGGTTTACGATTGCGTAGGGTTTAGAGTTTAGGCTTCCTCTGACCTGTGAACCTCAAAGCGGGCGCATTGCTGGGTTATGCTAAACTATGTAGTGTGGCTTGTTCCATTCCGTGATTTGGTGGCGACTGAAATCATATTTTGCTCCTTGCTGCCGCAGCGGTTTCGGATCCGGATGAACTTGAGAGCAGCACCACTGCAGCACAAGCTAGGTGAGCATCAAGACCAGCAGCATTGGCAGGAGTTGCTATCCAAGATTTCTTGGGGAAGTCTGTGCAATACTTCATGGCGCAGCATTGAAATTACCAGCCATGCTTGCAACAGAAGGCGATTTAGCAACCACCCATACTCCGTACGAGGATAGTTGTGGTGGCTTGTGGAGTCGGAAGTCTATGCCACCTCTTGTTGTTGTTTACACATACCCGTCCCCTATGGTTAAGTGTGATCAGCACAAGAGGCCCTGGAAATGATTTCTGAGCTCCCAAACCTCAGCCTAAACGCTGTAAGCTCTCAAACCCTTAGCGCTTTCGGGTTTTGGGGTGTTTTGTGCCTAACTCTTCAAACCTATATAAGCCCCTCACTCCAGGCCAATGGGAACGGTGGTTCCCCCAGCAAAGTGCCGAAGATCCCAAAGCCGGGACCTTCAGCGTGCCTTGGCGAGTCAGGTTCTTAGAGTTTAGGGTCTGAGGACTAGGCTTCGAGTTTGTCACGGTAGAGTGGGGCACTAGTCTAGGCGTAGGCTACAGAGTCAAGGGTCTGCCGTCCATTTAGGGCATATTGCTCGTAAGTTTATGCTTGGGGTTTAGGGTGTAGTATCAGGTTTGCGTGGGTTGAGTGAAGGAGGGCAGCTGGTGGCTGGTGATCAGTTCGACGATTTTTTGATAGCTGGTTGTACAGGGTATTGGGTTTTGCGGAGGTTGTCGGTTTCGGATTCGGAGCTCTCATGGGCCCTGGCATGACCCTGCAGAGTATGATCCTTATACAGACCCGTGCAAAAGGCACCACTGAACTCATAAATCCCGCATATACAAAAGATCCCTTGCCAAAACCATGCAAAGCCTTGAATTGACACCTTATAAGTTCATAGCTTAGCACCTCATCAAGCCCTTAAGCCCTAAAGTTCTACAGCCTAAAGCGAGTGCGAGCGCCGAAACCCTAAACCCTAAGCCCTTTGAGCATGAACCCTGAAACCGTGCATGGACAGCTATTCTGACCTAACCCTGCAATGCGGGCTTGTCCTTGATGGGAGAGAAAAACCCCAAACCCTAAACCCAAAAACCTAAAGCCTAAACCTTACAAACCCTAAACCCAATTCCATAAAGCGCGCAGAGTTTCTGAACTTCCTCCGATCGAAGGAACTCACTGGGCAGGACGAGCGTATACTCCGAAGCCGTAAGTGCCGAAGATAGCAACATTGCGGCCACTCAGCTGGTTAGTGTTTAGGGTATAGGGTTTAGGGGATTGGCGGTTTAGGGTTCAGGGGTTGAGGGTTTATGGTTCAGGACCTTAGGGAATTGAGGAGCAGCCTGCAGCATGAACGCAACTTCTTACACGCAGTCTTCTTTGAACTGTTATGATTCTTCGAGTCTCCTGCTGTTCTGCTCAGGTAGGGTTAGATTTTGGGCTCCGGTGCCCCAGGCACATTGAGTGAGTTGTGTCAGCTAAGCCGCAGCAGTTTGGAGCTTCTAGGTCGAATCGCCTACACATTTTCTGAATCTCCAGCCCGCCCCCCCCCTCCGACTCTATGTTTTAGCACAAGATGGAGGCCAGAGTTCGCTGACAGGTCGGATACTGTAAACATTCATAGCTCTCGGGTGATTTCTTGCTAAAAGTCTAGTGCAACAACGTGTTATTGCCTTTGCCAATTAAAATATTCTGTAAGCCGACCGGTGCCAAGCTGCCATGTATAGTGTATCCCCAGGAGTTGAAACATGTCGACAACAACAAGGCCTGAAATTCCGCACGCCTTCCTCTAGGACCGAAGGCCCTTGCCAATGCCAAGGCTCACCCAAGTGCGATCGCTCACAGAAAGCCGCCGTGCAGCCATCGGATAGTAATATATCCTGCTTGGACAAGCACCTCCGGCCAGCATCAGCAAAGGTACGGTTGTTAGTAGTATCATTCTGATTACGAGTACTACTAATATTATAACTATTAATATTTTTGTTTTTGTGGTTATAGCTTCTTGTTGAGTGTATGGATGGGGCACCGGCAGGGAAGTCAGGTTGGAAGGTCACATATGACATGTCCGTGCCGCTCGGTTCTCATACTTCCACGAATTTTGCCCCTAAGCCCCAAAAGGCCCTAAACCCTAAGCCTATACCCCAAACCCTCAACCGGTCGATCTACAGGCAGTCAGAGTCTCCCGGAATCCCCTCCAAGTATCACTTTAGGGCTTTGTCGTTGAGCCTGGTGCATGGGTAGCTAAAAAGGGTCCCTTAGAGGGGGCCGTAATGTTTCGGACCCTAATCTATCATGCGAACAGCAATCGATATATGATATAAGGCGTACATAACTTCCCAGGAGCCGTTCCTAACCCCCCGCCTAATCTAAGCCGTGCGATGGAGAAAAATCGTTGGGTGTTGAGGCCGCTATGCTAACCCCTCGAAAATTTCCATCCCCATCCCTCTAGTAGAAGACTTAGGCTTGAGGTTGGGTCTACGGTAGTTTGTAGGGCTTCCACCTGGTTCAGGGATGTTTAGAAACTCGGTGTAGGCCTGAGGCGCAGCATCCAAGAAGCATCCCGCACCCGCAGTTGCAAGATCCAAAGCCTGACACCACCTAATCACAAAGCACACTGCTGCCCGCCAGCATAGTGCCGTCGTACCCATAAAGGCCTAGGCAGAAAGGTCAACAGAGAGACGCCCTGGAAACTGGCTCCCAAGTGCATAGCACTCCAGAGATCCCTGGCAATCCCATTGCAGCGCGCTCCAGCTATTTTTTCAATTTAATCATGCATTTGGGTAGTTCTCTAAATCAGACTTGTATAAGGGCGCCGTACTAATTTTTGGGGCGTAAAAGTGGTTTTACTTTATAAGAGAACCCCCCCGTGGCGCTCTAGGTTTCTCCATTCCACATTGCGCTTTACGGGTCAAACCTCACCAGTCTTTACAGAGTCTGTAGCGGAACCCTCAAAGGAAAGTTTACTTGAAGGAACCCGGAGTCCTACCCTTAAGGGAAGAGCGTACAAAGAACCCCTAAAGGAAGGTCTTCCTGCAAGGGTTTTTAAGCGGCACTCTTAGGCAAGCTGGCGTGGGACCTGGCAGTGATGCTTGTCGTGCTTGTAGATGCATTTGTGCTCCCATACCAGCTGCCCCTTGGCGACATAAGGCTGGGTTATCTGGTTTAAGGATTAAGGCTCAATCGGGGCTTAGGGTTTAGGGCTTCGAGTCTAGAGTTTGAGCCCAGGGTTCAGGCTGAGAGAAAGAGTTGTCGGGATTCGGAGTTTGGTTACTGCCGGCCTGGAAAAATTAGAAACCCTTTTCCTCAGGGTTCGTTTTTTTGCTGCACGCTGCAGACATCTGGAGACGGTTTACAAACAGGTGTCTTTAAATCCACATCCCTAACCAAGTGATTACAGACCCAACAGCAGGTCAAACATTCCATCAGAGTTCAGCATGACAATGGTTCGTGACTATGGGGGGGGAAGTCAGAATCGGGAATGCTACGATCCGTGATTAATTTCGGCAATGTATACTACATTCCTGCATCCCACACCCCAAACCGCAAAGCCTAAAACGTGAAACCCAGTAACCCTAAAGCACTGCAAGCCTTCAACTCCAGGGCCCAACCAGTCTCATCCTAGTAGACTGTCCCTCCCACTCCTAAAGAAAAGTGCGACCAGGAGCCTTCGAGCACAAAGGCAAAACACCCCCAAACACTAAACCACTGAAGCCCTAAAAAGCCCGGCAAACCCTAAACCCCACGCCCTCTCTCAAAGCCCTATACTCCACACCTAAAACGCCCACAACAACCCTTTAGAGACCGAAACAGAGGTCCTTCAAGCGGGATCTTGAGCCGGATGCCTTTGATGAGTTTCTGGGCGGCACTTTGGGAAACTGTTCATGTTCCCTTAAAGTATTTAAATATCTCTGATTTAAGGTCTGAGGGTTCTAGAGAGGTATTTTGGTTGCAATAGCCTGTGGGTGCTCTTGAAAAATCATTCTGAAACCCTGAACCCTAAAACCCTAAACCCAGGTTTTGGTTCTGGATCACCAGCTCATTTTTTACACTGGACATCATCGCCACCTTTGACACAGCCCTCGGAGGTCGCGCGAAGGGAATCTACGGAGCTTGGTTGATGTGTGTGTGTTTTCAATAACGGGGTCCATAATTAGGGCTTCGGGCTATTGTGTACAGTACAGTTGGTAATAGTATCCCTTTGGGGGTATTGAAAGAATACGATTAAAGGCCCCCAAAGCCTGTGCCACAGTATGGCAATATAGTTAGAGGATCCTGAAGTACTTACAAATTTCATGGCACTCCTTCCTCTTCTAGTGGTAATTAGCATTTAAGGTTTCGGGGCATGTTATAGTATGTATAAGCATATCAAGGAACCCGATGGAACACTATTCCGAATTAGTCAGGCCCTTAAAGTTAATTTTGACCGTTTTTGCGGTTGTTGGTGACTGCAAGGCTTCTGACGACATTGTCTTGCCAAGGATGCGCGGCGTTGGCGTGACACATGTGGAGAGAGCACGTTCAAGACGAACGGAACCATGAAATTAGACTCTGCAGTGTGACTTCTTCTTGTGGAAGATGTCTGAGTTTTGAAAGGGAGTTGAGTTTTATATTTACCAGAAGAAAGAAACCATAGTGTGTACTGTAGGTGCCCATTTTGGGAGGAAATGCACCAGACGGACCTGTAGTCGGGACTGCATGAGAGCATTTGCGATCATCTCAAGATTGATGCTTTCGGATGGTCTGCATGATACTGAGTCAACCCGGCTTGCTGTCCCCCTGTACCTGTGGTATGGTGGCCGTTGTCAATGCGTGTCTAAGCTTCTGGGCAAGCCCGCCTGCAGGTGATGAAGACGATCTCATAGTAGACCATCGAACCATTGCGCGGGCTTACCTGCGTGGCTGGTTCTTTTTTGCCGCTCGGCCTGCACACCGCGACACATCGGCTGCGCCTTCAGGTGCGCAACTCTTGATGTATGAACAGGCTGCAGAAACTCGTGCCATCGAATTTGCGAGAGGGATACAAGCAGAACCCTGCGTCAAGTACCGGCAAGCTACAGTACTCGGGTCCCGGGTGTGGACCCATGTCGAGTTTGGAGACATGCGGCATGTCAGGATTTAGGGTATAGAGCCTTTCGGGATTCTGATCTGCAGATCTTGTGATTCTAGTGTTGTCCGTGTATAGTACCTCAGCTCCAATGTCTCCAACACCCCCCCTTGTCAGGACTGGGTCTCAACCATGCCTTGGAGTCGCATGGTTGATGCAATGGCCGCTGGGGCTGAAAGATGCTGAAAGTTGCTCTCGGGACCTGACCTTGAGTCTATGCAATCTCCGAACTGCTTCAATTGTAGCAAAGACCACCACCACCGCCGCCGCCACCGCCACAGCAACGGCAAC